AAATACTATAAATCATGATAATTGACAACATAAAATATCAAAAATGTTGTATGTGAGTAGTCTTATTATGCCTTAAATAGCGTCAAAGAAAGTACATGTTTGTGATAAAAAAAAACTTATTCTTTTATCCACGCAAACAATCACTTCAAAAACTCGGTTATTAGCCCCAAAATATACCATTTATATTATTGGGCCCGTGCATAGCACGGGCAACATTATCTAGTTATACATATAAAATTGAATTGAACCTCTTAATTAACTTTATATAATTCCACCTGGCCAATGTGACTATATAGTGGTGCTACTGCTTGAGATGATTTTGGACACGATGTGGTCGTAGATTGCTTGTCAATTGCAACGAGTTGGTGAAAGACATAATAAGTTGAGAACTAAGATGAGTACGAAAGTTGGGATACAACTAAAATGGTCTCATCGGCACTAGCATAATCTCTAATGTGTCAATCACAACTACTCTCAACATGAAGAATTCACATACTTACTATAATACATGAGGTGACATAATTCCTAGTGATTCTCCCAAGTTGCAACCTTGAAGGAGGAAGGCAAAAAAGATTTCAACTATTGTTTTTATTTTTATTTTTATTTTTATTCGATATCTGTAATTCATTTTATTGATCTAATTAGATTAAATTATTTATAGCGCATTAAGTTTATTAAAAGAGGAACACTCTCTTCAGTCAAATTCTATTACTCCTTCTGTCTAATTAATTAACGTGATTCACTTTTTTAATGAAACATATTTTTATATTTAATAATATTTTTTACTTTAAAATTCTCATTTTATCATGACATGATTTAGCCAAACAATTATTTATCACTTATTTTATTTTTCGTAATTACATCATATAAAATCATGAGGCAGAAGAAATATTTGTAAGCAAGATGTTGTCATTGTTCTCATTTCTTTTCTCATTTGCTTCACCAACTATGTTTGTTATGTGAATCGATTTCAAAACATTTTATATATTTATTTATTTATACAAGAACTGATAATAAAACATATAAAATCTTAATAAAATAATTTTATTCTATTCAAATTATAGGAGATCATGTTTGAAATCATTTCATGTGAATAATTTATTACTTAACTTATCGATGGGTTGTAGGTAAATATAAAGGAGAATACGATGCATGTAGTGTCCTATTATTTCTGATACTTTTGCTATTCTATATTTCAAAAAGACAATTTAGATAACATATGTATATTACAGTCTTACGTAACTCTAACTCTAATGGACTACCAAACCTCCATTAAGAGTCGACTCTAGATTGGGCAGAAACTTAATTAAAGTGGCAAGTTGGATCAGAAAAAAGTATAAATAAATAAATGAAAATAAAGAAAGAAGGGTTTAATGCACATGGGAATCAGCATCATTAACATCGGTCATTCAGTTGACTGACCGTAACTTTTATATTTTCCAACTAATTAAACACCGAAAAATAGCACGAGACCCCTCAAATTCAACAACCTAAACCCTACTATTGGTAAAACATGACATTTATTAAAATTAATTAAAGCGTCATCATTACAACCTTACTTTAACATTATTGTTCTCATAGCCCCTACTAACGCAATGCTAGTAGCTCTTATTAAGAAAAAATTTCTTAGATGGTTCTAATCATAACAACTATTTAATCAAATTATCACCTTTTATCTTTAATCTCATTAACATAAGTAACACAATATAACGAGAAAATAAGATCTCTTGAGCTGCTAAATTTAAATATAAAAAAAATACTTTTTTCATATCTCTTTATATATATGAAAAAAATGAGATGTAAAATAAGATTTTCTTTTAAAAAGAAACTAAAAAAAATCAAAAAATCATTTCTCCCCAATTTCAACGAGCTAGTAAATATCTTTTCCACTATGTATGTCTCACATATGTTGAATTGGTCTTTGTCTATTCCAATAGTGTCCTCTTTATTGAAAAAGTTGTAAGCATTTATTAGAGTAAGAATTAATTAGTTAATTTTAATTTCATAAATAATACTCCCTCCGTCCACAATTGTTTGTCAGGGTAAGGTCATGCACACCCCTCAAGGAAAGTTTAATAGAAGTTGTAATTTGACTAATATAACCCTATTATATCAAGAATATCAAAAGTC